AAGAGACAAAGCGTAGAAGAGGTGACTAAGGTTATTAAGGTTACCATGGAATCATCAGAATAGCGGAGAAGACCAAGGAGGAAGTTGGAGAAGCTATTATGGAGAAGAACACATGTTAGTGTTTTATGGTTCCACAAAAGATAGACGTCAAAGTTCCGATGAGTACCTTAGAATTTCAGAACATTGGTGTGGGAGGATGACACCGGAGAACACCAAGATCGTGGTTGTGTTCTAGATTTTCACTATCAAGACAAAATCAAAGGGGTAACGATTTTAATGACTGTACCAGAGTTTAGAGTGAACATAGTAAAGTTAAGGGCTCATGGGTCCTAAGACAGGACTGAGAGAAGAAAAATTCACGGCGGACACTGAAGTGAAGGTGACCAGTTTATCTCGTTTCAGAAGCTGGTGTCATTGGAAGCTGATTTGGGTTTCACCGTAGGTGGAGACGGACTAGTTGAAGGTCACAGAGTGAACTGCTGAAGACTACAGCAACACACTAAAGTTTCAGTTGCAGGTGGAGATGCGAAATAGATTGTCTATAAGGTATCTCTTTCAAACAAGACGAAGAGACTAGTAGGTTTCAGTTCAAGGTGGAGCAAGCTGAAGAAAGAACAAGCACGAAGTTAATTGTCAGGTGGAAACAAGACTATATGGAAACTCATGTTTAGAAGTAACCTGAGAGGAGGACATCTTAAGGTGGCGAAGGCTTTCGCCGCACAAGCTGAAGGGAAACAAGTGACCGAGAAACATCGGGGAGAGCTTATCAGAGTGCTGCGGCAATCCGACAGGGTTGAGAAAAAGGATTGATCATCTGAAGTATTCAAAATACAGACTCGTTAATCACCTATAAAGAAGAAATCGCGAGCTTCTTTTAGGAGTACGAGTCTCACCATGAAAAAACATTCAGAGGTAAGGTCGGAATTTACACAGGAACAAGTTGAAGACTTGGGTAGTGATTTGATCTCCGGAATCAAGGCGAGAAAAGGTGAAGAAGCAGTAGCACGTATGAGCTACTTGACTCATCTAAGAACGAGACGTCATCACCGCCGATAGAGATTTGGAGTATAAGATACTAATGGTGAATCTCTGGACACAGAAGTTCGCTGGAGAAGGAACTCAGCGAAGTCACCGGTTCGGATCGTGGTTCAGATCAACGAAAGAAGGTACAGAGGTGATCGTCAAAACTCATCAGCGTAAGGATGACGAAGAGATGGTTTTTTAGTGCAGTTGGGCCATAAGGTGGAGATTGTGAGTATATGGGNGTATAAGATACTAATGGTGAATCTCTGGACACAGAAGTTCGCTGGAGAAGGAACTCAGCGAAGTCACCGGTTCGGATCGTGGTTCAGATCAACGAAAGAAGGTACAGAGGTGATCGTCAAAACTCATCAGCGTAAGGATGACGAAGAGATGGTTTTTTAGTGCAGTTGGGCCATAAGGTGGAGATTGTGAGTATATGGGCCCAACTCACCTCCAGCCCAATAAACAATTCCTGCACAAAAAGGAAAACGTTAGATGGTTTCCTATTTCCTTCATATGTCGGTTAATGAAATAGTTAACACAAAGGGAATAGGAAAATCTAAGAGTTATAAATAGGAGAGGTGGTCAAGGCTTTCTAATCATCCTAGAGACGAGAGGATCCGAAAGATTAGAGAGAAACCCTAATACTCAAGAGCATAAGAAACTAAGGAGAGACATTGTTCGAGTCATGTCTCTAAGGGATAGAGTTTCTTTGTTGTGTAGAGCGCTTAGAGCATTTGTGTAAAACCCTTTGATTTATAGTGGAAGTTGTGGGAGACGGTTCCCACCCGAGATGTACCGTGCTAGAGGCCGGGAACTCGGTGATCAAATTCTATGTGTTATTTAGTTAAGCAATCAAACGATCGAGAATTCCTAACATTTGTAACTACCCATCGTCCTATTTTTTTTCTCAGAAATCTAAACCCCGTTAACTTGCGCATTTTGAAACTGTTTTCTTCATCTTCTATATAAGTTGCAAATCTGCTCTATTTTTTTCTACATAGTGTCTCTGGACCCATTTCTTCAATTTTTTCTTGTTTTTCATTTGTTGTTGAATTATCACAATAAAGAATTACATCACGTTATCAAAGGAAGAAGTAAGTGTCTCATTGTTATCAATCTTATGGTTCCTGCAACAATAATATAAATTTTACGTTATCAATGTTATCCATGTGCAACTATTATCAATGTGGGGTTTTTTCTGACTTATAATATAAATCTAGATATCAATTTTTGAATCTGTTTCTTTTTCTCTGGTTTATTTTTTAAAAGATTGTTTTACATATTTTTTTATGGATGGAGTGAACAGATGTTAAAGAAGATAACAAGAACTTGCAACTCTGCTCAACCATCTCAAGATTTGATGAATCATCGACAAGACAAAACGTGCGACAAAGGTGTGTAGAGACTGAAACGTGAGATATAAAGTGTCTACAGGGTGCAATCTATATTCATATTTAATTTTGAAACAGTTATTTTCAAATTGCTTTCTTTTTTCTTAAGAAATATATGTTCATTATTCATTAATTTTATAATATTGTCGATTAATTTCAAATAACTTCATGGGTAAATTAAAAATCATAATATCCCTATATTATTAACACAGAATCATTTTAAAGAAGTAACCTTACAAATGTAACATATTTACGACCATACCACCCTGACGTGGCAGTCTTAGAAGGCTTCTTAGCTTCATTAATTTATTACCCTCTCTCTACTAGAATATTTACAAGAGATGCCACTCCCACACAAGGCCCACATCTAACGTATCAATATATACATTCCTATGAACCAATCTTATGAAAACACATTATCATTTATTATATAAAATTCTATGGATCTATGGATCAACCTTATGAAAACACAATATCATTTATCACTGTCTCTATATAATCTTCTGATCTGCCTGGTAAACAAAACCACAATATAATCCTCTGGTGTTACGATCTCTTGATAGAATCTACTGCAAATTATCACATTTTCCAATTCCAATATTGTTCTCTGCCTGGAAGACAAAAGAACATGTATATGCTTTAAGCAGGCAGTGTGATGATCAATTCCAAAGCCAAATGAATCATAATCATGAACCTATATTTTAGCTAAAATTTTTATAATATAAATGAAAAAACCTTATAGCAAGGTCTTTTGACATAAATTTTAATGATTGTTTCAAAACCATACCAAAATTACAACTTGGTTTAGTAATCGAAATGAGTTGTAATCATGAATCTATAGTCTAATTTACATTTTTATAATATAAATGAAAAAGCTTTATACTAAGGTCTTTTAACATTGTTTCCCGGTATTCAATTATTGTTTTTTACCATACCAAAATGACTACTTGGTTTATCAATCCATTAAAGTATGTGATTCCGAAAGTACCGGATGAAGGAACGCAGCCAATAAACTGGCCTTATTCATGTGTTTTCTTTAGTCTTTCTTTCCATAATTACATTTAGGAAAGTGATAATTACATGATTTGTACTACAAAATCATTTCTAGAGCATTTAGACACGTATTTGGCAATCATACATATATTATTACCTATTATCATGTCAATCACGTATATGTGATAATTACATGATTTGTACTACAAATTCATTTCTTGAGCGTTTAGCCATCTATTTGGCAATCATACATATAGTATACCTATTATCATGTCAATCACGTATATGTAATGGCGTCAAGTAAATGTAATTACTCCTAAATTATTGTATGATTCGAATAAGTGATTGACAAGCAAAATATATGATCATAATTGTCAAATTTTAATTAATAAGATCAAAAGATTGAAACTGGAACCTATATAAGAAAACAATGTATTGTCCATAAACTTGCTCACTCAACCCTAAATCTACTCAAAGTCTATGGCTGCGATGAATCTTATCTCTCAGCTAAAGACTTTTAAGAACATGTGGAAGGTTCAAGTCAAAATCATCTGCCTTTGGAAACAATATTCGGCGGCGGGAGGTGAACGATCGAATGGTGTTTGTCGATGCTACAGTAAGTTGAAATGTGAAAGCAAGTTTTCTTTTGATTAAAAATATGACATAAATATCTCCACATGTTTCTTATTATTTCTGTTTATTTTGGTATAGGGGGACAAGATTGCTGGAATAGTGAAAAAAGAACTGGTTGGGCAGTTTGATCGTGTGCTTCAGTAGGGTGAGAAAAAAGTGCTAATCAATTTTATGGTTACTAATTCGGGTGATTCTTATCGAACTACCAATCATCCTTTCAAGATTGTGTTCCTACCTACGACCTGTGTACGGATTTGTGAGGAGTTGCCCAACAACTCGACTGGACTGAATCTAGTCAACTTTCGTGATGTTCTCAACGGTGTCCTCAATGATGATTACTTAGTTGGTACGTGTCTTGGTATTAAATATTTATATTTACAGAGTTTTTTTTGTGATGTGTGATGCTCTTATTTTGATTTTTGTTTTAGATGTAATCGGCCAGATTGTTTAAGTTACACAAATGGAAATTGTGTCTGTTAATGGGAAAACACATCCAAGAATTCTGTTGAATTACGAAATGAGTGGTAAGTTCTTCTATTTTACAACATGTGTTGTGTGTGAATGTACGATAATTTAAGTAAAACTTTGATATATACAATTTTACAAAAAAATTGTAGTGACGACCATCTCCCATTGGTTCTATGGTGAAAGTTTGCTGAGGATGTTAGCAATGTAATTCAGCTGCGTTGTGAGCAGTCTATTGTTTTTGTTTTGCGCTTTGGGAAGATTAAATTGTGGAAAGGTAAGGAATTACTCTTTTTTTCCTCCTTGAATTTTCCGGCTGAAAAATATGTGTTTGAGTAATGTGTATGTTTACTTTACTGTATAGGATCGTAGCATTTCCAACGCCTACACTGTCTCTACCGTGGCCTTAAATCCACAATGGATGAGGTCCAAGCATTCATGAGTTTGTGAGTTTATGATTTATAATTATGTTATTGATTTCTATGCGTGATGATGAATACAATAAGGAAATTGTGTGAGCTGTTGTTTCATTTTGTCATTTTTCAGGTTGCCAAAAGATGATTTTTTGTCATTAGCCATTGTTGAGCCTAGGTCAACAGCAATCGTGCCTGGTATTAAGGAAAAGGAAGACTTCTTTTTGCTCACACCTAGGAAAACCATTGCCGAGGTTTTGGAAACCAAACAGGTTTTGTTCACAGCACTAGATATCTTCAATATTTCTTCTTGACGAAGTTTTATTCATGATTTCAAGTGTCTAAGCCTATTTTGTTTTTTTTTTTTGCAGGTGGGGAAGTGTATTGTAATGGCTTCAATTGCAGCCATAGGTTCTGACATGGGTTGGTACTACCTAAGTTGTAAGGTTTGTGCGAAAAAGGTGTTGACTGTGCCTAATGACATTGAAGGGGACGAGGATAATATTAGTGGTCATAATTATTACTGTGTGAAATGCAAAAATAAAAATCCTATCCTGTTGGCAAGGTATGTTTCATTTTTCCGTTGGTTCTATATCTCAAACTTTCAAATCACAGTACATTTCAGATGCTTATTTTGTTCCTTTATACACTTAGGTACAAGTTGCATTTGGTTGTACTTGATAGTACAAATGACACCAAGTTCTTGATGTTTGATAATCTTGCAATGCAACTACTACATAAACTATGCACAAAACTTACTGGTCTAATTACTGATGAGGTGTGGACCTTTCTATTTATTATATAGTGCTGTGACTAAAACCATTAATTTGAGTTTAACATCACTGGACCTGTCTTTTCATACAAAAGATCCAGGACCCGGACGTGTTCCCTCCTGTTCTAACGGATTTGGTTGGGAAAAAATATCTTTTCAAGATTGGTGTTGAAAGGGAGAATTATTTATATAAGCATTCCACTTTCAAAGTTCTCAAGATCATGACAAACATAGGATTGATTAGTGAGTTTGATGCCAGTGGATCAGCAACAGTAAGGCTTTGTAAATATTTCGTTTGATTGATTAATCTTGATGTCACGTGTAGATCTAACTTTGATCGTATGTCCTTCTCTTAGGAAAGTAAGAACATGTTAGAAGGGAAATTTTCAGCTTTGTCTGATGCACCAGAGGTTGTTTCATTTAGCGTTATCTACGTTCTCTATATACATGATTAACATAATTAATCATTTTTATCTGTTATTGTATTTTTGTATTTTTGAAGGGGTCCCTACAGATTCATACCGGGTCATCTCAACAGACCGAGTCTACAAATATGATACCAGCCAAGCGAGCTAGAACTCCAATCATTAACTTGGAGGATGCTTTTGATCAGACTTCCGTTACAAGGCAAGCAACAACTATCAGAGTCAAGAAGGAGAAGAATGCAAAAAGTGTCTGAGAAGTGCTTTGAAGATTTGATTAGTAGAGGCTTCACTTTTTATATTATTAATGCTTTCAAGTTGCTTTTTGTTTTCCGAACTTTGTTTTTGTTCTTTTCTGGTTTTTTCGTTGATGGTTGTTAAGTCTTTTGAATTTTTAATGGTAATGTGAAGCCTCTATGTTATTATTTTATCTACTGTTTGGCAAAAATACACTTAACAGAATATAGTAAGATGACCCTATATCAATTACTTAGATGTGGTAACAGAAATATTTTTACCTATTTAATGGCAATTACTTTGAGCTAGAAAAGAGCATTTTCACAGCATTCTCCTTGGTCGTCTGAGACTGTTATCTTAATCCATTTATCAGTCTAGGACTTACTGTAAATTATCGCGTTCTCCATTTTGTTTATTGTTTTCTGCCTGCGAAACAAAAACATGTATATGCTTTGAATAACTTATGTTACAATTGTTATACTATTTACTTTAGGGCCAACTGAAAAATTCAAGAATATACTAATAGAACTAATAACGAAATCTCTATAGTAAGCTCTTTTAACATAGTTTCGATGGCAGAAATATATATTTTAAGCTTTAAACAAATCTTTAATGTTTACAATAAAGTACAAATACTGTTTTGCAGTGGTAGTATTAATGAATACAGCCAAACAATTTTCCTGGATTCGTGTGTTTACTTTACAGAGTATTGCCGTATTTTGATTAAAAGGAAAGTGATAATTACATGATTTGTACTACAAAATGGTTTCTAGATCATTAACACCATGTACTATGACCTAATATCGTGTCAATCACGTATATGCAATTGTGGGAACTAAATATACTTATGCCTACATTAGTGTGTGATTCAAATAAGTGACTGTCAAGCGAAATATATCAGGAATTTTTATAGCTGACACAATTCATAGAAGATTGTTTCCATAAAAGAGATCAAAATTTTTAGTCTATACTAGAAGATTGTATCCCTAAATAACATCTGAAACGCTTAACTAATAGGTGAACATTGAAGCTCTGGAAGAACAGAAAGCAAGTTCCTCAATATGAACAAAGGAACCAAGAAAAAGAGGAGCGAAAATGCGGAACCTAATACGAATGCGAAGAGAAGAAAGCAAGGTATTCATATAGTTACAACTTTATGCAGTTTAAGAAAGGGTTTTATTATTGATTTTGTTTACAATTCTTTATGCAAGAAGAGATAAGCATGAGTGGAGACGGTATTCCGAATGTTTTGCATGACATAACAAATTCGAGTACCAATATAACACAAGATGCAAGAACATAAATGCGCCTCAAATTGCTTCAAAAACGTAAAAGGTCCGTTTTAGACATCACAAAAGTTAATCAGAGATTTTGAACGAAAAGGCCGAGGGAGCCACAATAGAACAATCTGCCTCTGCCAAAAACAAGAGGCGACGCTGGGAGAAGACTGAGTTGGGAAGTGCATCCAGTGTAAAAAGGAACATGATGGCGCCAACTAACACTCTTTGTAGTTCTAAAGGGATTTCAAACTCAGAAAATACAAGTTCTCCGGCAACCTACTGTTATTCTCAAGTCACATTTCAGCCCACCGTCAAAGAAAGTTATACAGGTCTACAACCTTCGAGAGCTACCAATCTGGCCGATACAGCCATAACTGCGGACTCTGATTCATCAGGTCACCTTTTTATAAGAAATTAAAACTTTTATTCTTATCAATAGTGTTGCTATTTTTTTTCATGTTATATTAGAGAATTATAAACTCTGGACCTAATTGGATTTTGTTTTAATCTTATTACCGATTTCAGATAGTTGTGATGATTTATGGGATTTTTCAAGTAATGAAAGTGGAGATGTCCATTCTGATTCAGATACAAGTGAGGAAAACGACTCAGAAGTTATTAAATGTTATGCCCATAAAAAATTTCAAATGGTTTCGAAAGCTGTAAAATCTTTTGCAGAGATGTTAAATCGTTTGACGAAGCAAATTCCGCAGAAAACATCAACCCCGTCTATAGTCTCCAGTAATAATTCTAAATATAAAGGTACGTGTACAAGTATTAGTTGACATATTCACAATTCCAATCCAACCTGTCGTTTTATACATGTACGTTTATTGGGTTATTAAGTGTTTTCTCTTTAAATATTACATGTCTTTGACACAGAGATGAGAGGTCGTGCAAAGAAGTCAATTCCAGCTAACTCGCTAAACTTGAGATCTATTGTTTCAAGAAACGTAAAAGAGAGAAATGTTCGTTTTGATTTTTTTTTAAAGATGATTCATTTGTTCCTGCCAATGAATATAATTACCATCTGATTTCAACATAAGCTAATATTCGTTTTGTTATCTAATGCACTTATTTTTTTGTGTAGAGTATAAAGATGATGGTGACCTAACTCGCAAATGTCCAAAATGCGGAGCTCTTTTTTGGTATAATGAACGGGTTAGTAAGAGCAGGCATGAAAGTATACCTGTATTTACCATATGTTGAATGCGAGAGTATACTTTAGGTTATTTCTCTATTTATTTTTTATGCTCTAATGCAAAAATGACTATTTTTTTATTTTTACATTTAGTCTTTCTAACCCAGAGCAGGCTCAGCTCTCCACATGTTTATTAAAATTATGCCAATTTCATTTATCGTAATTACGGTAGATAACCATAAAATAAATAAAAATTAGGCAAATCGAGAAAGCTAACTGATATCATGCATATTTGCATAGATTTAGCATTTCATTTTGTACATAAATCATCATATAGATTTAGGTTTAGACATCTTTAGGATACATATTGCATTCATATGTGTTAATCAGGTTTTGGAGGTCTTTGGAGCGATTTTGGTTCAAAATGAGTGAAAATGATGAAGAAAGGTACAGTTGCAGTCAACCGCCGCGGGTAAGCTTTGCGGGAGAGAGCAGGCCGCGGCCGTGTGTCAAGTTTATCACAGAGAGATTTCGCAGGCACCCACCGCGGGATATGAAGGTCGGGGGCAACGTCAGCGCGGCCTCCTGACATTGCCGCGGGCATCTTTCGCGGGCTAAAGGTGGTCGCGATCATCTCTCGACAAATTGGACAGAGATGTTTCGCGAGCTGATTTGCGGGAAGAGAAGGCCGCTGCCAAAATGGGTGCATCGCAGGCTAGTGCTGCGGCCAAGAGGAGGTTGCGGCCGTGTCACGGATTTTAGCTTAATATAAATATGTATTAGAGTTTAAGTGGATGATATCTTCTTTTCTCTGAAAAAAAAATTTTAAGTTGAATCCTTGATTAATATAATCTTTGTTTCTTGAGTAATTTGAGTCTATCTCTTCTTCTAATTATGATTAGTCTTCTATCCATCATGGGTTTAAGATTAAACATGAAGATTTGTGGGAACCGAAATTCACCTACTGTCAATGAATCGTAAATAAGGAAACTTTGAGTAAACCCTAAATTTCCAGAGGATCCGGCTATCTGCGGAACCGCACAACGATAATTAAGAAAACGATGAAATAAAAATTAAAGTAAGAATGAACGAGATGAAGAGCAAGAAGGATCTTATTCCAATCTGCGTAAGAACGATTACAACGAGAGTGGCCTTAGCTGTGTGAGCCGTCAGCGAAATCCCTAACTCTAGAAGTCTAAGACCGAAAAACCCTAGTTGAGACACAGCTCGCTAACAGATAACGGAAATATTCCTAAATGCTAAGTTTGGTGGTGAAAGCTCTGAAATCGTGTCCTGCTTCTGCCATATGCCTCTTGCTTATATACTCCCTTCCTAGGCGGTTTAGTCTTTCCATTTCGCTCAGATTCGAGTTTATCGGGAATCTTCCATTTATCTCGATCTTTCCTTTTTTCCCGCGGAAATCTATTATTTATCTTCAAACTTGCCATTTATCTTCTTTCTGCGAGTAAATCGTCAAAACATTATCGTATCTTCGGGTTAGATTTCGTTAAGATCGCGAGATGAGTTTTTATCACGTTTTAGGACCTTCCCAGCCGTTTTGTGATAAATCCGTTTTGCGACTTTGTACGAGATCGTTGCCTGATCCGATGCCGTTTTTAGTAAATTTCCCGAGTGAATCGTAAATTTTAGCTACTTTCGTTTCTCGGTTAATCATTGCGGTTTTTACGATTCACTCGACGTTTTTATTAAAAACGCGTTTTTACGATTTTTACGAAAAATCTCGAATAAATCGTATAGTTAAAGCAATGTTCGGTTTTTTATTTAACCGTTGCCGTTTTATACGATTTCCTCGAGTTCTTTTAGAGAAAACAAAGTTTTACTGTTTTTATCGTAAAACTCGGACGATAGGACGGATCGAGAAGAAACGAGAGACATTTCGACCGTAGTTCGGAACATGATCGTGTCAAAGGACGTAAGCCTTGAATCGGGGATTTGGGAGATCAAGGCTCGGGACGGTCGGCTCAACAAACGGTGAACCAAACCGGACTCGTTCAGCTCGCCGTCCGGCGAGCTAGTCGCGATGGGACTAACTCGCGTTTTACGGCGGTTTCAGTTTTTCGCGATTTCGTGCTTAACTTGGATGATCGCGTAATCGACGTTTGTTTGGTTATTCCAAGATAACAATCTTCCGAGTTGTCCGCGGATTTCCTTTGTTCGGAAATCTCTTTTGGATTTATAAAACGATTTCCCGAGTTTTATAAAACGGTTTCTCGAGTTTTATAAAACAATTTCTCGGGTTTTATAAAACGATTTCTCGAGTTTTATAAAATGATTTATCGAGTTTTATAAATTGATTTCTCGAGTATTATAAAATGATTTATCGAGTTTTATAAAATGATTTCCCGAGTTTTATAAAACGTATTATTTTGCTTTTTGCGGGAAGTTTTGGCTATTGATTCCGTCGTACCAATTTTGACCCCTACAGTTAGCCCCCCAGCTCGTAAGAATCGTAGAGTTCTGGCGGGCGGATAGAACATGTTCGGCAAGTTTGGTAGAATTAGGCGGAACTTTAATGGCCAAAAGTCCAAAGTTGAATAGTAAACTTTTTCCTATAAGTATATGGGGTGAGTTCTGAAGT